CTGGCCCCATCCCCGCCTCTTCGACCTGTTTGTTTCCTCTCCACCTATCCTCTCCTCTATCCATCTTCTATCCGCCTCCCACTCTCTCCCTATTTATTTCAGAACCCCCTTCCCCTCCCCCTTTTCCGATGAAGGGTCTCGGCCCGAAACGTCAGCCTCTCTGCTCCTATGATGCTGCTTGGCCTGCTGTGTTCATCCAGCCCTGCACCTTGTTGTCTTGAAGTCCACTAATACCTGCTTACTGATCAAATGGAGATGACGCCTCTCAGTTATTGTCTGAAGTACATGGAAGATCAGTACTTGTGTTAGTAACTAAGTGTGAGATCAAGTGGTGATTTTTCATCACCATTAGTCTCTTGTGCCTGTTCCACTTCATGTTCTTGTGCCACTGCCTGGCCAGGTGGAACTGCCTGGATATCTGAAATGAGAAAGGCACAAAGCTACAGTGGTGAGGAGAGGAGGGGGAAAGTAGGAGGTGCATATTTAGACCAATTCTAACTTGTAAATTAGAAAAAGATTATGGGACGAGATGGGGGAGTGGGATGTGGGCATGAGGATTAAGAATGAGTATACCGTCACCTTTAATGTTTGCAATAACATTACCAGCCACAGGATCATACATAGTCACTACATTTATGAAAAATATTGTCTCCTCCATCGGCATAAAAGCATGCACCTATGCTTGTCTTGGGCAGCTGCCTGCACTTAGACACCACATTAGCCTGTGATCAGTGTGCCGGAGATCAAATCTGTTTGGGTGACATGCCTATCGCAGTGTTACAGCTGGAAATGAGTGCAAGGTATCGAATGTGGGTATGAAGCTGTGCAAAGTCTGGAGATGAGGAGAAGCTAGGTGGGTCATGGTTAACGGAGAATGTTGGTACAGGATTGAAGTGGAGTAGATAGGTGCGGTGAATTCACCCATGTGTGCACATCTAAAGATACATTTATTCACTGTGACTACCTGTGAGGTCACTGACCTTGCAGCACAGTATTCACATTCTTGGGGTTACATTGCTGGTAACAACCGTGATGTGTACCAACTCCCAATGTTCACTTCACTATTCCTAATTCCTCTGGGTAGAAGACTTCTTTCCTCCCATTCCCCTCTTGTACCATGGCACCAACGATGCTTTGGAGAATGGTCTTTATACTTTCCACACTTATTCAGCAAGCCTGTTCAAAATCTTTCCCACCCAAATCCAGCATCTTCCACAGCTTGAAGTATTGCAGTCAAGATTTAACCTCTGTTATCTTGGATAAACTTAAGTACTTATTGAGGCCTACAGCCACTCAAAAATGCATTTAGAGTTGCCCACGTGTGCTAATCATTGTAATGAGTAGGTAGCATAAAGGTTATGTGTGTTGGTAGGAATGACTGCTGTGATGCCCCACTTCTGACCTGGGGTAATTGCTTTGTTCTTGGCTGTTTTCGGTTTTCCAATTGTTTCAACTGTCTCTCTAATGGTTAGATCTAAGAAAGTATAATTAGTTCATGGTGCAAGTCTTTGGCAAAAGGAACAATGATCATGCAAGGCAACCTTTAATGCTGATTTGTTGTTCATATTTTTTTCAATACTTGTATGTTTAATTGTGAACTGTCACCACATAGTGATCATATTTTCACACTGTAAAACAAATTTAACAGTTTACTCCTAATACTGGAACATTTTGTTATTAAATCTTTGATTATTAACAGAATGATATTTTTCTAATTATAACTAATATAAGAATACAGTGTGTATCATTTCAGTCTGTTATTTATGAGACAACTACTCTATACAGATGAGCCACTAGCCTATCTTGCATCAACACATATTGACTGAAGTTGCAAGTGGCAACTAAAGGCCCAGTCATGCTCAATTAATTCTCACATATTGATGTCGAATGATACTGTTGGCTGGGTACCTTCAAAGACTGAATAATACATGTTTCAAACAAGGAATAAGGTAATCTTTCCATTATAATTGATTAGTTCGTTTAAAGAATTACAGGACTGTAGCAGAATAATGATTATGATGTAATCTGTTACCTGTTAACATTAAGTGGAATGACATTTTTGTATGAACATTATTAGAAGTTTATTGAACTCTATCTAAATTCTTATTAGGTCTTCTGTCTTTTGTTTTCCTTCCTGATCTAGGCCAAGATTGCTGGTTCCTTCTCTGTGTCTGTGTGTGTAAATGCCAGTGCACAACTGTATTATGTATAACTATTAGATTACAAATTATTTATTTACCTTATTCTTTGGAATGGTCAAACATAGCTCCTTGATTTTAGGCGTCAGAAAAATCTTAAAAAAGAATGAACAATTGTATTTTCACCTTTTTTTCCTTCTGAATGTCTAATTTCTCCCTTCCCCCACAGGAATACTGTTAAAATGTTTGCTTCCTTCAGTTAGGAGGGTTGAATGCTTTTTCTAGGATTATCATCCACACCCCACTATGGATGGAATCAGTACTTCAGTATTTTGCATTCAATAGAGAGTACCAGCAGGATTTAGTACTTACCACACCACATGGCAAAACAGCAAAGAGAAGATATAACTCATGCATTGAAACAGATATGTTTAAATACCAATGAGTACGTAAGTAAATAAAGTACCTTCTGGTTGGGCACTAAATATAGCACTATTAAAGTTGCTAGACCATCATGTACACTTATATTTTATTCTTTACTCAACTAGTTGAGTATAAATCATTTACAGCAGGATGGACACTCCTGACCAGAGTTTGAACATTTTTTTTCAAATTGAATGTACTTGTGAATCTGTCTACAACTGTGAGCCAGTGGTATACATGAAGAAAATAATAATGGAAAATGAAAATAAAGGTTAAAGTAAGTTGGCAGCAGAGTTAATCTAAAACCTATTCAGAAAAAGAATAAATATGATGCAAGTGTATCATTGATCATTCTAAGCATTTGTCACCTTGCCCTTCGATCACTACTTACAGGCTGAGGAGTAGATTTTGGTTCAGTTGACTTCACGTGCAGGTGTGTCATCATTGCTTGCAGGCGTTCTTTGTCTTTTGCAAGCTGAAGAAATAAAACATTTTAGCTTCTGAAGTAAAACCACAACAATCATGAAAAATGAGGACTTATGAATCATCTTTAGTAAAACTTTCAGCCCCTGCGTCAAACCAGTTTTTTTCTTTGACATCTGCTGCATATTCCTTTATGTCAACAATTAATCAATGGGTTGCTTAATGGAAACTGAGATTTTAGGCTTTCTACTTTCCAATTTACACATTGTATATAAACACAAGAAATACGAGCAGGAGTAGGTCATTTGGCCATTCACATGACAAGATACATACAGATATGGATCATTTTATGTTAATTAATTTGCAAAGCATCAGAATATCAAACACCATGAGATGATTTTAGGTGCAGATTAAATTCAACATCGATGAGTATACTAAATGAGCAAGAACATCATATGGAACTTTCCATGGAATTCAGTGAGTATTAATTACTACCTGGTTTACATCTATTCCAAGAATGAATTAAACCCTTGATCAGAGTAAAATAGCTTAACAGTTGAAACAAAAATTACAATGTAACATGAGAATTAGGAGCAAAAGTAGACCATTTGGTATATCAGACCATCTCTGCCATTCAATAAGGTAATAGCTGATCTGACGGCTGCCTTGACTCCACTTTACTAACTGCCTCCTTTAACCCTAGATTCCACTCTTGTAGATCAAAACCTGTCTAACTCAGTCCTGAAAATATACAATGATACAGCCCTCATTGCTCAATAGGGAAGAGAATTCCAAACACAAACACAATCTTCTGGGAGAATAAATTCACCCTCATTTCCTTTTAAAAGGGACAGTACTTAGAAACTATGCTTCTGAGTTCCAGATTCTTTCATGAGGGTAAACATTCTCTCAGCAACTACCCTATCAAGCCCGTTCAGTAGCTTGTACATTTCAATCAGTTTATCTCTCACTCTTCCAGAATTCAATGATTATATGTGCAATTTTATACACAACAAAAACTGATCCCAGGAATCAGCTGAGTGAACCTTTTCTTAACTGCTTCCAATTAAAATCTCTCTCTTTAGAGAAAATGAGAAAAACTGCACACAGTACTCTAGATGTGGTCTCACCACTGCCCTTCTACAGTAAGACCAAGGCCTCCCTACTTCTATACTTTACTGCCTTGCAATAAAGACCAACATTTAGCTTACCTTCCTAAATATTTGTTGTACCTGCATGCTTGTGTCTTGTGATTCATGCACAAGGACACTCAGATCCCTTTGTACTGCGGCATCTTGTTGTTTCTGTCTTTCCCTATTTAAATAATATTCTACTCTTATTCTTCCTGCCAAACTGGACATTCACACAACTGGTCCTTTCATCCATGTCATTAGCACATGATAAATAGTTGAAGCACAACACTGATCCCTATGGCATTCCAATAGATACAGTTTGTCAAGCTGAAAATGACCTATTTATCCTGATTCTTTGATTCCTGTTAATTAGCTACTTCTCTATCATTGCTAATCGAGCCCCTCCAATATGATGAACTATTATTTTGGCTTTACATAGAATTGAATCCCTACAGTGTGGAAACAGGCCTTTTGGCCCAACAAGTCCACACCGATCCTCGGAGTGTCCCACCCAGACCATCCCTTTATAACCCACCTAAGCTACACATCCCTGAACACTACGGGCAATTTAGCACAGCCAATCCACCTAACCTGCACATCTGCAGACTGTGGGAGAAACCAGAGTACCCAGAGGAAACCCGTGCAGACACGGGGAGAATGTGCAAACTCCACACAGACAGTCACCCGAGGGTGGAATTGAACCCAGGTCCCTGGCGCTGTGAGGCAACAGTGCTAACCACTGAGCCACCATGTGATTTTGTGTGATCCCATATTGAATGCTGTTTCCAAGAAGCATTCAAGATGGAGGAATTCTGGAAATCCAAAAATACATTACTGGTTCCCCTCTACCCATGAATATGCTGAAGGCGTAGTAAGATACATTCAGACTGATAAGCGAAGGAATGATTAGTTATTTAGTGTAGGTACGAATGTGGAGCGGAGGTTATAGTCAGATCAACCTTGATCTTATTAAATGCCAGAGCAGGCCTGAGCGGTCAAATGACCTACTCATGCTGCTAATTCAAACTTTATATCCCCCCACTTTACATTCTCAAAGAAATCTACAAAGTTTGTCAAACACTATTTCCCTTTTACAAAACTGAACAGCCTCTGAGTGATTTTCTAAATGTCATGTAACTACCTCTTTAGAATGGGAGTCTAGCTTTTGCCCAATGACAGATGTTAAGCAACCTGGCCTAAGGTTTCCTACTTTCTGTCTCTTTCCTTTCTCATTAGTATTGCCATTACTTTTTCTGTAGTGCTAATGATTGTTTTAAGTTCCCTTCTCTATTTTGCCTCTTAGTTTTCTTCTATTCTTGGGATTTTTTTTGTATTCTACTGTAAAGATGATACAAAATAGCTGACGAACAATGACACGCTCAGTCTAAACTTCACACAGTTTGCAAAATAAAACAATTACTCAATGCTTCCTCAAAGCTCTAAGGAATTGTCCCGTACATGAAGAGGGAAAATTGGATAAGGGCCAAAAATGATCATGATGCATGATTAACCCTCTTCACTCACCTACCATGTGTGTTTGGGACTTCAATTCCCTGCCTCACAACGCAGCTTCACATATATTGCAGCAATTCAACATGGTAGCCACATCACCCAGACATATTACAGCAAACGTACTGACAATTTCCCTTTTTGTTGCAGGATTAGCTGGCCTATAACTAGTGGGAGACAGATAAAACTGCATTTCCACACCCTGATAAAGGAAACAGTACTTGGTGCCATTGGAACAGTGACAAAAGAGGCCAGGGCCAGTGGCGTGCTGGGAATGATTGATGATGTCAGTGTATTCCTACCCAATTTTCATTCTCACAACCCACTTATCTCCACCGATTTACAGCATTCAGATGATGAAAAGAAAAGCACCTCATGTTTTGCCTCTTTGGAACTGCCTTTCTCCTTTCAGATACCTGACAACTGTTATTTGGCATGACAATGGCGCAGGAACAGCAAGTTGCTGAGAAAAACACTGTCACTCTATCAAACACACATTGTCAGTAGCTCAAATACTGACACTAAGTATATTTTAGAATGTCTGAATGTGGTGAGCCACCAGGCATTAATGGCATGCAAGGAGGGTCCATGCAAAAGGTGGCATAGTTGCCTGCTCCATGGAGAGCAAGTCTACACACCAGTTTTGTGACAGAGGCCTCAGTTGAAGTATGTGATGGGAAGTGTACTGAAATGGGCTGATGGTCTTGCACCATGATGTGCTAAGTGCACTGGCAGGCCTGTTAAGGGACTCAATTTACAAAAATAGTTGTGAATGCAGCCATGCTATAGTGCCTGACGGGTGATGTGTCAGTTGTCATTGCAGCAAAAGCAGAAGCCACCCAACATCTGAGCATATTGTGGAATCTCAGACTGAACTCATGCAATTTCAGCATGTTGTCTTGTAGGCTCAGGTGGCTGCAATCATGGCTCCTCTGGTGATGTTCAAACGTTTTGCAAAGATTGTATAGTAGTCTAGCAATCTGTTTTCCAACAAGGTACTGAAACTACCGATACTGGCTGTGGCTCCTCAAAACACAAAACTGCTATCCACTGTCTGGATGATAGCATACATCCTCCCGTTGCTACCACCAGTGCCCTCAGAATCTCTATGGTATGGAAAGAGGCCATTCGACCCATCGAGTCTGCACTGACTCTTTGAAGAGCATCCGACCTAGACGCAGCTGCCGCCTCCAACCCTAAACCTACAATCGTACATTTTCCACAGCTAATCCATCCAGCCTGCACATCCCTTGTCACTACGGGGCAATTTAGCATGGCCAATCCACCTAACCTGTACATCTTTGACCCTCACCAGTACCTGTCAGCCAACCTAGTTTGTTGCAGTTATTCTCAGGCCAGAACTGCATGAAAATCATCCCTCAAGGCCATGTGTCAGCAGCCTTCTCCCAGCCATACTCCAGCACCTAGGCAGCACTGCTCAGGAGCACTAGGACATGCAAAGGCACGTGAAAGGCAGGTAAGAAGTAAACAAGTAAAAGCCGGTTTTGCTTTTATAACCAACATGCTGGAGAAACTCAGCAAGTCTGCCAGCATCTGTCAGAAAGAGAGTTAATGTTTCGAGTTCTTGAGTTCTGAAGAAGTCATATTGGACTTGTAACATTAACTTTGTTTCTCTCTCCACAGATGCTGCCAGACCTGCTGAGTTTCTCCAACACTTTCTCTGTTTTTAATTTGGATCTCCAGCATTTTCAGTACTTTGCTTATATTAAAAGGTGACTGGTTGAGCTTTGCAGGAAATATTGGATGGCTTGGTTGAGAAAGTCGGTATGTAAAGTTTGTTTTGCAGTGGCCTTTTTAGTATTGTGGCCAAGAGGATATTGTGAAGATCAGCGACACAGGGAAGATAAGGTGTGGGACTATTGCAGAATGTGGAATTGCTGTTGTGATCACTGCTAGTGCAGACAGATCAATTGGTCACAGACACCCCGGACAGAACTGGAGTGTGTTGTGACCTTGTTCCTTCTTTCTCAGCTGCTTGCTTTGACCTCGTGGTAGCTCCCTTCTGCAGGACACAACAGATCACAATGAACTGTGTCATGCTCGGGCAGGAATTACAGGGCTCCTCCCATTACGCAGCAAAATCACTGACTACCATAGAAGTGTGCGTGATGACATTTCATGTCGCAACAAGACTTTCAATATATGCATGCTGCTCAAGTGAAATTTGGAATTGAAAGAAAGTTATGAGCTAGATGATCAGTGGATAATTTGTCCCCCAGCAGCCACTCTGATTTGTCATGGTGGCTGAAATTCTGATAGCACAGAGCAATTGCATCAAGACTGTTGCCAGGAAAATAAAAATTTTAAACTCATAGTACATACAGTATACCATTCCTAACTGTGAGGATATACAGAGGACACAGTGATTATGACAGACATCAAACACAAA